TCTACATGTACAATGTATGAGACACATTTCATTGGATGCAAGTATCTAAATTTGAAACAACCACAGCATTACAAACTTCTACATGTACAATGTATCAGACAAATTTCATTGGATGCAAGTATCTTAAATTTGAAACAACCACAGCATTACAAACTTCTACATGTACAATGTATGAGACAAATTTCATTGGATGCAAGTATCTTAAATTTGAAACAACCACAGCATTACAAACTTCTACATGTACAATGTATGAGACAAATTTCATTGGATGCAAGTATCTTAAATTTTTCCCACAATGCAATGTGCATTCATGGTACAAAGTATTGAGAATTTTATGAACTTGAAGGAAACTAGTTTTAAATTAATAATACCTGAATATTCGTGGATCACATCGCAGTACAATTAGTGGATCTACAGTAATATCTTGTTGACCATAGGCACCTGCTCTTTCTCTGTTCACAGCTAATGAATTTACTGTCATTACATGTAACCTGTTAAGTAGAAATAAATAAATAGTGATTACATGACAGAAATAATAAGTTTAAAAAGTGAAGAGTATCATGGCTTGAAATACAATGAAATAAACAACAATTAATTTGTCAATTTGTAATAATAGGTTACATATATTCAACAAAATGACTTTCATGTTCCCAGACAGCATTTCTTGAAAGACTTAATTGAGAATAAACAGCGTCCGGATAACTTTCGGAAATTCCGTCGCGTTTCGGAAAGATTTAATTTTCACAACTTTTGAATATTTATTCATACTTTTAGGCTAGTGAGGAGGTTATAATAATTTTTCATTTCACTTTAACTCTGTTTTTTTCACCCCTCAGACCCCTTTGAAAAGTCACTTCTGGCCATTGTAATGGCCACTATTTTCTTAATGGCCAGAATACCAACCAGAAATTTTTTAATGGTCAAAATATTGACCAGTATTTTCAAACTGGTAGTTATAATGACCACTATTTTTACACTGGTCAGAATAATAGTAATTTTTTATTTAATGATGGAGTGGGTGACAATCTATTTTTTTAATGGGTATTATAATGATCATTTTATTTTTCATTACATGAATAAAATGGTCATTTTTTTTTTCATGTCACAGATAATACCCGGTAATAGCACATGGGGATTGA